TGGTGGGGGGGGGGGGGGGGGGGGGGGGGGCTTTTCACGATTTAACGTAAATTGGTTCCACATGACTCCAAAACATTATATGCAATTATATGTGAATTTATATGTTTTTTTTATCAACAGTTTTATTTGAATTTAATTTCCTATATCGAGAACATAAATCTTCACAGTCTTTCTTGATTGTTAGATTACTGGATTATTACAGACATATTTGTGCACATTTCTGAATGACTTTTAACAGACAAACTGATTTCTCTGTAAGTTGTAAGCTCTCACAAAAAAAAATCATTAAAAAAAATCTAGCAAATGAATGTATCAAGACTGTAAATAAGGGCAAAAATCTTGGCAAAAGTCATGTAGTGCATTCTGGCCTTCACTATTTGCTGACATTCTACTGTTAAGCAGCACAATCATGAGACTCTTTGTTGAATTCTCTGTGTTTACTGTTTATATTCAGGAACTGCCACTATGAGTTACTGATGTACCAATAAACTTTGAAAATAATTCCCAGCTATATTTGAACTTTTGAATCCAACATATTAATTCTACACAGTGACTCTTACCATCAAGAAAGAGTGGATGAACTTACATATGGTTTCCTTTGCTGTACTGTTTGGCGGGTTTGTTTTGAATTGGAGGTCTGCTAATAAAAAATAACATTGCAAGGGCAATCAGTTTTTAGAAGGAAATAATTTCTCAGATTTAATCTAAAATAACCAGAAAAGCTATTATTAGCAACTTACTAGTTTTACTGTATGTTGTAGTTTCAGAAGTGGACTTTACAGTTAATGCTGATGAAAAGACATTGTGAAATGTGTGGTGATGTACCGTAGAGAGTAAATGCTCGATAAATACTCATTAAATTAAAAGAATGATTGTTGTTTTCAGGACATTCAGAATGGAGTAAGAATAATTGATTTACAAGCTCAATTACTCACAGGTTTTCATGGCTGTTGTAGTAGTTTGTTCAGTGGTGGTTGAGGTTGGAACTGCAGAGAGAATTTATCAGCATTATAGAGAGCCGTTTTACATTATTATCAAACTTTAAAGCAAAGCTTGCTTGTTGGAGATAAAGATCCTCAAATAACAAAAATATGTATTGTTACTTCTTTAGTAATGTGTGGTTTTGGAGGGAAAATAACAACACACACATTAGTATTAACAATTGATTTGATGAATTTAGTGATGAGTCTTTAGGGGTACAAAAGCTTGTCACTGGGACAGTATCTTAATCAGTACTATTACAGCCTATTGAAGGGGTCTTTACAAATATTATCCAGTCCATCCAGAAGTGCCCTATAGGTGTAACATCTTCATCACTAACTGATGATGAGTTTCTCAAGTGAATCTGTATAAAGTAAAATAATCCATGATCAGTAAAAAAATATCTCACCTAGAACCGTCACTGTGGCAGGATCAGAACTAGATGATGTTAATGAGCCTCTCGCAGTTATGTAGTAGCAGTAAATGTGGATCAGTTCAGTTGATTTTACAGCTGCCCATCTGAGCACTTCAGCACCAGTGAGATCCAGCTCACATGATGAATTGTTTTTCATTTCCTTCTCCTCTCCGTTTATGTAGAAATGACATTTATTCACTATTACTTGTGGTTCTGTCTCACAGCGGATCTTCACTGAGCTGGACTCTCTTATGACATCTGGAGATATTTTTACTTTAGGAAATTCTTCAACAAATCAGATCAATCAGTCATTAAATCTCTTTATAGACCATGTTTACATGCATCATTTTCCAACTACGGTCCATGTTTTGGTTTTACCCTTTAAGCAAACTCATAAATGTATTTGCAACAGGACCCATGTAAACAATGAATAGTAAAATGATGGACATGAGAGATTTGAAAATATTAATGTTAATTTATTGTCATTTACGGAAATATTTATTTATTTATTTATTTATTACTTTAAAAGCGTCATGACATAAGAAATCAAATTTTGGTTTATTGACAAAACGAGAAAACAATGTAAGAATGTAAGAATGAGTCTTACACAATGGGTGAATTATGAAGTAGCGCAACAGACCACAGAAACCTTACAACATACTCTGCATTTTCATGCAGATGAAAGTATAGATCACGATTTACATTTACAGCCATATGCAATGTAACGTTTACATACAGTCATAGAGCATGAACAATAATATCTAATGTAATAGTTTTAGAGGCCTGAAACATTTAAAATAAAATACATTTTAAAAGATAAATGTTAAATTCTACTTTACGTTTGAGGATGATTCTTAAAACATATACTATACAGAGTACACACCCATTCAGAATTACTAACACAACAAAATATATATATATATATATATATATATATATATATATATATATATATATATATATATATATATATATATATATATATATATATATATATATATATATATATATATATATATATATATATATATATATATATATATATATATATATATATATATATATATATATATATATATATATATATATATATATATATATATATATATATATATATATATATATATATATATATATATATATATATATATATATATATATATATATATATATATATATATATATATATATATATATATATATATATATATATATATTGTAAATGTACAGAAAAAGACTAAAAACAGGATGTGAATCATTATTCTCTCTTCCATCTCTGATGTAATCGGCTGGATTTTGTGGGAGGAGAAGCTAACGTCACATGATGGAATTTGAAAAAACTGATTTAAGCCGTTTTTAAATACAACAAACTTATAAGAAAAAAAACATTTGGCTCAAACCTTCAGATGGTTCAATTTCTTTAGAAAAGAAGTAAAAGATTTCATTTATCATTACAATTTTAGTTCAGCTCTTATTGAATGCCCAAGCTCCACAAGTGGTACTAGTGGGTTTGCCAGAGAAGATGCTCTGGATATTCACTGAGGTCACAGTATATTCCACACCAAACATTGAATAATAAAAAAATAAACACCTACTGTTTTTGTCTGAAAGTAAATACACTTTAATTATAGTCGCAATACATAATGAACACAGACATGGGATTTGTCAGTGCATCTTCACCAAACTGTACACGTGATCTTCTGCATTTGAGTGAACTGGTTTGTCAGGGATCATGGAGTACAGGTGATAAACATTCTTAAGGAAGAAGAAAGATTATTAAGACACAAGTAAATGTGTTTGTATTCTGTTCATGATGGACAGTTATGTATTTGGTGTGTGACATTGTTCAAACATACCTCATTTTCCTCTGGATTTTCCTGTTTCTGTTGTTTATTGACTAAAACATCTGTAATGCAATACAAAGGCATTAAACGCGTTGACCTTGATGAACAAGCTCTTTGTCATAAAACTTTAATGTATTTTTAGCTTTGACACAGCAGAATAATCTCTCTGAATCATTCTATGCATCAGTGTTGTGATGAATTTAATATTTGTCCAACTTCCTCCATATTAGCTCAGCATGATTAGAAGGCTATCTCACCTTCTAAATGTACACACCAAAAATTTAGTTTTTGGAATACAGAGGAAGTTTTAAGTTGTGAAACTACAGTTTGTTTTCATAGTAGGCCTATATTAACAACTCTTATGTGAACAAAACAAAAATGTGATTCCTCATAATATGACCACTTTAATGAGAGAAAGATGTCATTACCTGATGGCTGGTAAACTGAATTTACAGACATAATGAAAGAGTGAGTGTCTGTGGGATCTGCTGTGCTCTCCTGATGTGACTCTGGGTGTTCGAGGCCTTTGAAAGAACAGCATGATGAAGAGGGTCAAACAGAGTCAATAGAAAACTATACAAAACAAGAAGACAAATGTAAAATGGCTTCCCGAAAAAGCTTCAAATTGTATGCATAATGTTAGATTTGATGACAGTGACACCAAACACAATCAATCCATGTCTTGATACCAGACACCATGACTGAATGAGAGCATTTGCAAAATAGACTGAAACAAATGGGGAGATCTCCGTATAATTATACTTGGAATATAGAACTTAAGTCTCAATGCAAGTCTGATGTACAGTGGTGCGAAAAAGTGTTGGCCCCCTTCCTGATTTCTTATTTTTTTGCATGTTTGTCACACTTGAATGTTTCAGATCATCAAACAAATTTAAATATTAGTAAAAGATAACACAAGTGAACACAACATGCAGTTTTTAAATGAAGGTTTTTATTATTAAGGGAAAATAAAATCCAAAACTACATGGCCATGTGTGAAAAGGGAAATTTGGCTCCAGATTACATTTGTGACTTGGTTACTCTTTCCACTCCCTCTCGCTCTCTCCGCTCTGCTGGTTGTCTCCCTCTTTATCAGCCTCATTGTAAATAAAAAACCATGGGGGGGGGCTTCTCCTCTAATGTTTATTAGGAAAGCTGCTTCCTTGATTTGTTTTAAGAAACTTCTTAAGACACATCTTTTTAGTAAAGTTTCTAATTTAAGATTTATTATTGCGAATCTATTTTTCATATGTATTTTTGGAGCACTTTGAGTTTGAGAAAGGTGCATTACAAATAAAATGTATTATTATTATTATTATTATTATTGTTATTGTAAGATCCTTTATGGTGAGTTTTTTTTTATTATGGCCTGAACTGTTCCTTTAAGAAGATGTGGTTATTAATGCTGATCTGCTGAAGACCTGAAAGAGGAAATGGTACCAGACACTGCAGTCACTGCACAGCGTTTCTAACCTTTAACTCACATGGTGACATCTGTTAGCAACTATGCTTTTAATTTATCTGAGATCATTCCCTGAGAATGATGTTCTCTTACCTCCAGATATGGGCTGAGATGTTTCTGGTACAGAAGTGATCAGGGAATATATATCTGCAGATCCAGAACCACTCTAAATAACATAGTCAATTAATTTTATATACAGTATGTATATAATTTTATGTATGTACATAAAATTGTAAATGCACATATACTCACCATACTAATTCCTTGACTGGGCACTTCCATTTTTATTGATCTAATTTAGCAAAGAATCAAATTTAGCTCTTTATGGCATCTTTTCATACATGTATATATCAGATTAGAAGCTAAACATTTACACATTTAGCTCCTGGACTACAAAAATATTTTTTTATGAAAAATAAATATTTAGAGCAATATATATCACAGACTACTGAATTGAATGCATGAAAAAAAACTTACAGTTTTCTTATTTTTTGACCTAGAAAACAATGAGTTACTGCATTATATGTTTAATTCTAGCTTGCATTATAAATTCTATATTGAACAGCATTAAGCTCAGTATCTATCCAACAGAATGTACAATGAGCCTTATTCATGGCTTAAATTTTCATTTTCAGCATACAGTATGCATTATAATGATATTTCACAAGTTTGTTTGCTCATATTGACAGGTAATTTTTAAGCTATTAAAGATTAAACGTATTTGCCTGGTTTCTGCAGTGGAGAAGCTTGAGGACAAAAAGATCACATAAAATTCCTTATTTTAAGGAAATAAGTAAAAAGTACTCAATTCACATATATTGTAATTCATGGGCGGGGATTATGTTAATTGTGAATGAGAGTACACTATTTAAAAATTTTGAATTCATTTAGATACACACGTTTGTGAATCCGTTTTTTACGTACCAATTACTCTAAATGTACTTATATGTTTACGAAAGATTGATGAATGAGGCCCAAAGAGTGTACATTTGTAAACTTGACTTACTTGCAAACCGACACAGACAGATGAGTCCTGTGAGTCCAGACAAGAATACAGCAACACCAGTGGAAACCAGCACTAAAAACCATGTGCCTGTGTCAAAACAAAACCAACATTTCAGTCCATGTTTATGTGTATTATGATGTTTAATGTGTTCTTTAGATATATCAGTCCACCTGACATATATTTGTTTTAATTTTGTTGTGTGCATGGAAAGAAGTAAACGTTTTACAGAGATTTGAAATGGAATCAAATCATCCAATTAATTCAAATATGGAAGCAAAGACTCTAAAATAATATTAAAACCTGTTTGTGGATCTGTCGGATGAGCCATTGAAGTGTGAACATTAGAAACAGCTGCAACAGAAAAAAAAAACCTCAAATGAAATCATAGGTTAATTGACTATGGTGAACATACACATCAAGGTTTCAGAGTTGAATGAATTCATGGTAAAATAAAAAATCTTAATATTGCAGATTGCTAATATTTAGAAAAGATAGAAAAAGTTACCTGTTCTGGGGGATGCTGTTGTGAAAGTGACAGCCATTGTTGCTGAAATTGAAATGGTAAAATAATTAGCTATATGAATAAACTTTTTTTATTTTTTTGGTCAGGTACAAGTTTTAATTGTGCACTAAACTTTACTCACATGTGTGTATTTGTGAAGCTTTTTGAGTGGACGCTTCTGTTGAAACTGCAGTGAGAACATCTTAAGTTATATTTAACATAAAAACAACAAACTTTTTATGTCTGCAAGCCAGAGCTAAAAGAAGTATAGTAACATTTTATTAAATCTAGGTAACTTCCCCCAAAAATATAAATAAATAAGCAAACATATTGGGTGAAACACAGAATGTTCCAGTGTGATTTAACATTTTGTTCAGATATCTTTTTAGAGCACTCAACTAGAAAGTCTGGTAGTTTGTGATCCATTTCGTGTATGATGGCCAGTTTTCCTCTGTAACTATTTACAAAGTTGGCAAGCGTATGATGTCTGTAGTTTAAAAATTGGTTCAGATTTGAAAAGTCGTGTAGTGCATTCCATCCTTAAGTACTTACTATGTTCTGATATTCTACTGTTACCAGGCAAAGTGGAGTTTGTAATGGAAACTGCAGAAAAAAACAGCATATAGTTATAGTCTTATAACAGAATATTAATAAAAATATACATAATTCATAAACAAATATTAACCATGTTTAAAACACCATAATCATGAGTCTCCAACATCCATGAATCCAATATATGAATCCAACATTAATTTTACAAGGAAGAGTGGATGAACTTACTCATCGTTTTTTTTGTTGTACTTGTTGACAGGTTTGTCTTGGAATGGTTCAACAATGAACCTGAAAGAATAATTGTCATTTTAAGGACATTAAGAGTAGAGTATTAATTATTTGCAAACTTTAACAAAGTTTTTGTTGTTGTTGTGCACGGTACAGGTCCTTCAAATAAATATAAATAAAATAATGTATGTCACATACGGCTGGTGTACTTGGGTACTCTTTCCACTCCCTCTCGCTCTCTCCGCTCTGCTGGTTGTCTCCCTCTTTATCAGCCTCATTGTAAATAAAAAACCATGGGGGGGGGCTTCTCCTCTAATGTTTATTAGGAAAGCTGCTTCCTTGATTTGTTTTAAGAAACTTCTTAAGACACATCTTTTTAGTAAAGTTTCTAATTTAAGATTTATTATTGCGAATCTATTTTTCATATGTATTTTTGGAGCACTTTGAGTTTGAGAAAGGTGCATTACAAATAAAATGTATTATTGTTTATGTATTATTATTATTATTTAATAAAAATATACATAATTCATAAACAAATATTAACCATGTTTAAAACACCATAATCATGAGTCTCCAACATCCATGAATCCAATATATGAATCCAACATTAATTTTACAAGGAAGAGTGGATGAACTTACTCATCGTTTTTTTTGTTGTACTTGTTGACAGGTTTGTCTTGGAATGGAGGTCTGATAATAAAAATAAATATCGCAAAGGGAATCACTTTTCAGAAGGGAATTGTTTTTCCAATTAAAAAATAATGGAATAACCAGAAAATGTGTTATCAGGAACTTACCAATTGTAGTGTATGTTAGGGTTTCAGAAGTGGACATTACAGTTACAGCTGTTGAAAAGACATTGTGAAATGTGTGGTGATGCACAGTATATAAATATTTAATAAACATCGTTTTTTTTGTTGTACTTGTTGACAGGTTTGTCTTGGAATGGTTCAACAATGAACCTGAAAGAATAATTGTCATTTTAAGGACATTAAGAGTAGAGTATTAATTATTTGCAAACTTTAACAAAGTTTTTGTTGTTGTTGTGCACGGTACAGGTCCTTCAAATAAATATAAATAAAATAATGTATGTCACATACGGCTGGTGTAACTTGACATCCCCTCATCCATATTTGTTAACATGAGTGTATTAATAAAAAAAAGTACACTGGACTGTTACTGTCATTGGATCAGAGTGAGGAGACCGTTTTTGAATTTCTCTTTTTGAACTTCTCTTCTTTACAGTGTAGAAACAAGTTATTTCCACAGAGGAAGTCTGACCTCCAAACCAAATACTGATCTGAGATCCAGTGAGCGAGAGCTCACATCACGAGCTCACATCTCTGTATTCTGATTTTCATCATTACAGTTCAGCAAAACTGGGTCTGTTTCCAGAATAACTGACAACTTGGCCTGACAAAGACCTAATTAATGCATACGATGGCACATGCCATGAACACAATGGCCAAACAGCTGTGCTAGCAGGAAATGGACATTTTTTAAATTTCAGTACCGACTGGTACCAAAGTCGGTACTTTTGACAACACTACTGTGCATCGTGAAATTGCTTGCTTGGAATGCCATTCATGAATCTCTCTCTGACATGTACGTGCAGTGGGCTGTGTGTAAAGTATTTTCTTCTGCTTATTCTGAAAATGGTAATGCATATACTTACACCCATCATGTCCAATTCTGCCGAACTAATGCTGTTCCTCAGTTGGTTAATCTGGTCTTCTGCTTTATAATTAAAGCAGAATTTACAGCAGGACTTCAAATCCCCTCCTTACTTTCACCAGGACTATCACCCAACAAGTCTTCAATATGTCACTGTCGCAGCAGCGACATTTTCCACCACTCTCAAATCAGCTTAAATGTTATTTCTCTGCCACTCATGAATCATCGAGGGGTTAGAAATCTAATTTTTGTAGTGGCAATTCACTACTGTGACAGTGAAGTAATAAGTGATATGTCAGGACTGGATGGGCAGGCGAACTCGTGAATTGTTACTAAAAATGTAATTGTAGGCCTACATTTCTGTACATGACATTTATATATTATTTTTATATTCTGTATGAAATTGTAATGGTTAGGTTTTAAGTTAGGGTTATGGGATCTAAAATGGTTAAAATCTATAAAATGGTTAAAATGCAATGATACAAATATCTTTATGATATAAAATATTCGTAAATATTTTGTTACTTTAGCTGTAAATGTTTAACAATTGTTTTCATTTTAGATGGTGTCAATACATACACTGTATGTTTCAGCATTTATCCAAATGTACAACATTTTTTATGTTTTTTAACCTGTAAATGTTATGTTAATACCTACATACAAACAATGAAACCAGGCTGAAATTTCTCACCTAGAACCGTCACTGTGGCAGGAGGAGAATGGCGTGATGGTTTATCAATCCCATGTATTGTGTAGTAACAGTAAATGTCGAGTGATCCAGGTGATGTTACAGCTGCCCATCTGAACACTTCAGCACCAGTGAGATCCAGCTCACATCTCCAACTGGTTTTTACATTCTTCTCCTCACTGTTTGTGTTGAAATAACACTGATTCACTGTAACATTTGGCGTCTCACAGCTGATCTTCACTGAGCTGGACTCTCTTATGACATCTGGAGATATTTTTACAGTAGGGGATGCTGAAACAACACGAAACAGATCATTACATCTCATTGACCATGTTTACAAGTACAATAATATTCCAATCACACATTTTGGGTTCTAAAATGTGAAGTCAGCTGCTAATAAAATGTACTATATACAGGAATATTCTATAGTTCAAACAATATGTCAGGTAGGTTGTATTAAAACATCACACGTCACTTGAGAAAAATATTGCTGAAATATTATAGAAAATGAAAATTAGTTCACTTCAAATCAGAATCAGAATTAGAATGAGCTTTATTGCTAGGTATGTTTACACATACGAGGAATTTGTTTTAGTGACAGAAGCTCCACAGTGTAACAGAATGACAGTGACAAGACAGGACACAGATAATAAAAAGAATAATATAAAAATAGACAATGTACAAAAAAGCAAAAACACAATATATGTGACAGACTACAGAATTTAATCAACATTAAACAACAAAGATCTCTTACTGTAGGACTGAACCTCCATCAGGAGCTGAATCACTATGAAAACGATCAACTCCATTACAGCAAATTTGAGAAAAGCGACGACAAATTAGGAAGTAGCACATCAGACCACAGGAAGCCATTTTAATCCATTGTGCAGTCAGTTCTGTGAATGTAGATCATGTGACCACATGTACAACTCAAATTCATGTTAACAGAAGGCAGATCTGGGCAGATCAAAGCTTCATCAGTATGAGGTCACTGTTAAGATTTAAAATAGGTTACAACAATGTTACAGTGTTCATTTAGTTTAGAAATAAAATTATATGTAGTACTGTTATTAATATTACAGCATAATATACACTTCAGCACCAGTGAGCACATGATGAACTGACTTTTATATTCTTCTGTTCTTTGTTTGTTTTGAAATAACACTGATTCACTGTAACATCTGGCGTCTCACAGCTGATCTTCACTGCGCTGGACTCTCTTATGACACCTGGAGATACTTTTACAGTAGGAGATGCTGAAACAACACAAAACAGATCACTTCATTACATCTCTTAAATGACCATGTTTACAAGCACACCATTTAATAAACAAGGTCCATATTCTTACAGACTTAAATTCATTTGAATAAGACCTTTACATGTGTCACACCTATTCAAATATTCCTTTATATGTATTAAACATCCTTATTCCCCTGCAGTTTTCACTATTTGTAATCATTTTGTACTTTGCGTGATTGAATTTTCTATTTACCAATCAAACATAAGGAAATATTCTAGACAATGAAACTTATTCAAAACATGAATACAAATGTGAATATTAGTTTTTAAGCAACAATTAAACATGATAAATAACTTGCTGTAAGACTGAACCTCCACGAGGAGCCGAAAAATTATGAAGATGGAAAAACTCCATTACAGCAAGTGTGAGAAAAGAGACAGAATGAGACTCAAACAATGGGTGAATTATGCAGTGGTACATCAGACCACAGGAAACCTTATAGTGTACTTTTTACGTAGGTAAAAGTGTAGATAAGACTGCACTTAATAACATATGCAATTTGACGTGTATCATAAAGCACTACAATATATGATAAAATTGTTATGATGTTATAATGTTCAGTTAATCTACTGACAATAGTGGTATAACTACTAAAAAGATCTACAGCTATCCAGAACTATCTCTGACTAATAAGTTCTATTATAAGTGTTCTGTTTATAATATAATATAATATGCAGGAAACAGGCCATAATTTTGCAACTTGAAAAAATTTAAAAGAGATCAGATCCTCTTTAAATGACAGTAAGTTTAAAGAAATAGTTCAAAATAAAAATTTACTGAAAATGTACTCACCCTCAGTCCATCCAAAATGTAGATGAGTTTGTTTCTTCATGGGAAAATATTTGGAGCAATGTAGCATAATATCACTTGATCACCAATGGATCCTCTGCAGTGAATGGGTGCCGTCAGAATGAGAGTCCAAACAGCTGATAAAAACATCACAATAATCCACACCACTTTACTTTTTAACTTAAAACCGTTGTTTCTGGCCTCCATTCTTCATCCATAAAATTGATTTCTGCAGTGAAAATCCCCCCTGCTGGTGTTTTATGATGAGACACATTTCTTTCTGCAACCAAGAAATCAGATCGACTGATCACCATATGCAAAGTTTTCAGTTATTATTGACTGATTAATTTCAGATCATTTTTAATACTAACTTCCAATAACAGCAGTTGTACCAGGAGTTGAGGCTTTGACAACTATCGGTGGAAATGAAGAAAATAAATGTCTAACCACTCATCCTTTAACAACAGTAGATGCTGACAAGAACCTTTTTAAACCTGAATCCCTTCAATGTAATTCAGGTATGTTTTAGTCTAAAAATGAAGGTCACTCACAAGTTCCTGTGGCAGTAGTCAAAGCTTCAACAGTAGAGGTCGCTGTTGAAACTGAAACGAGATTTCAACAACATCACAAGGTGCATTTAAAATACTTATACACGACCTCATTTCCAGGCCTAGCTATCACAATTTTAAATCAACTACTAGTTTGGAAATACAACAACAGCATAATCAGTTCACATGCAGATCAATTCCATTATATATAGAGTTTTAAAATGTATTTTTATTTAATTGTAAATTCATCTAATCAGTGTCACAATTTCATTTATGTCTTTTAGAGTGTGATTTTAACAATCATACATACAAGAAATAGATAATCACAGTGGGAATGTTGTGGCATGGTCGTGCATTCTGCAGTTAATTCATGCAACATTTGGTAAACAACTTTATAGTCTTGCAATCTGTGGGTCTGCACTCTGCAGAATAAAACAATGACTTTAGTCAATAATACATGACACCACAAACAAGTTAGTAACTCGGCTGCTTTAAAACAGCGTTAATTGTCCAGTTAGTTTCCATTAGTTTTAAGTCTGAGTTATAAATCAGATTGCATAGTGAATTGGTTAACTCAATTGTGCTGTTATAGTAATTATAAAGTTAGCAATGCACTTATAGACCTTATGTATAATGGTTAAAGAAAGATGTACACTTACAGTTTATTGAAATTTGAAAGGAGGTAGAAAAAGGGGTCTACCTTATTTCATGGGGAAACTTCACATAAGATTTAAAACAAAAGAGATCACTTACCATAGGACTGAACCAGTGCTTGAAGTGGGCCGGTACGCACCGGAACACAGTTCCCGGCACTTCTATATTTTAGGCTTTAGAGTAGGCTACCTGCACTTTTTTGTGCGTACCGGCACTTCTGACATGTTGCCAGTACTCAGAGTAAAAGCGTCAGGGTCTGGGTGATTATATGACCCCATAATATGATTAAAAAGGACACTATATAAATCACACTACCCAGGCGGGATCACCTCTAATCTAGACCAATCACATAAATGAATGCAAGTGGAGTGTGTGGGGCGCGAGAGCATGTCAGGGGAGGCGCCCAGAGTAGTAGAATAATAATTAATTAGTGATTACTAATTTGAATCAGTACTTTATAACGAAAGTAATATCTTAAAATGAAAAGAAGCAGGCTTTTGCGATCACATCATTTTAAACCGGTAAACTCCTGCAAAGTCCAAGGATCCAGTAAACGAATTCAAACAGTAAATTCAAAACAGCCTAATGCAGAGAAAACACGGCCGATTTCACCAGAATAGTGACTTACGTCCAGATGTCAGTAATTATTATTTTCAGTGTGTATTTGGCTTAAATTCAAGAGTGTTTTATAATGAATGCTGATTATGCGGTGGTCAGAGATTTAGCGATTGTGAATGGATCCTTATAGTAGGCTACTAAAGGCAGGCGATTTAGTGGTCTTTGGCGTCTCCCTGTGGTCCTCTTTGGTATCGCAGCTTGACTTGTGCTAATTTGTACTGAAAACTTTTATTCAATTATTGATTGATTGATTGATTGTGGCACTATACATACATTGTAGATTATTAAAAAGTACATCCTAGTGCTGGGCGGTATAAAATAAAAAAAAAAACACAAGGGGGGGGGGGGGTCACAATAATTTGAAGTGGAGTGATACAAATGGTAAAAATGTAATAGTTATTTATGTAATGTAAAGCTTTTGTGAAAATTATGTGTTTTTGTTTGAATAACCTTATTTTGGGGGAAAATAAGCTTCTTTTGTAATGTTCGAGTAATGGAATAATGTTTGATGACCTTTGGCTTTGACAAAAAGCAACAATGCAGAAATACAAGGATGTAATGACTAAAACTATGCGGCTAAAATGTTCGTTTTAAATCACAGATTCTCACTGGGCTGAGATACAAAGAAAAGTTTAAGGGAGAAGTGAGAGGCTGGGTGTGCATGTGCAGTAGTGTGCCACACATACTGACCACAAACATACAGTGAAACCACTGAAAATGTCACACAAAACAGTGTTTGTTTGTTTTTTGTATTGCACAGCAGTGATCAAGTTCAAATGTGCATGCCATTAATAGACCAATCATATCTGATATCACATTTTTCTGGCATTGCTTTTTGTTTTTGATTATTAGAAAAACAAGACAGTTTGATTGAAAGTGAAACATCCACATTCTCTTTTAATGTCAATTAGTTGAATTATTATAATATAATGATATAAACTTAAACTGGCAGAGGATGGTTTGGCATTTGTGCCAGACTGTATAACACATGAGAGTCTGCAGCGACATCAGGGATGGTGCAGTACACGTGGTACAGTTTCATCTGTAGAGCAAAGAAAGTAGATAAATATACAATATGTGAAGAAATAAAAGAGAAGTAAATAAATAAATGTGGTGGTGGCTGTAAACGTTGGAAGGTCTCTGTCACAGGTCTTTATACTCACCCCATTTTCTTCAGAACGTTCCTCGTTGGCATCAATATCATCTGATACATTAGAAATACATGTTATAATGATATTTTATCACAATATTAATTTTTTTCTCAATACACTAATGTACATAACCTGCTCATAACATGCATTACATAATAATTAGTATAACTAATTATGATTCACCTGAGGGCTGGGAAATGGCTGCTACAGAAGTATTCACAGGGCTTAAAATAATAAGAAATAAAAATTATTTATATTTTTATGCTTTTAACACTAACAGCATGTGCACTAGAAAAGTCTTACCTCTTCTTCCTTGGTTGCAGTCCTAGTAAAATATATCATACCAGTGCATTAATGTGTTGTTCTGCAAACTGGATATTAAAAAGGCAGTCTACTGTACAGTATATTCAGATGTGTAGGTAACATACTGATGCAGCATAGACAGATGCCCATGAGTCCGGTCAGGAAAATCCCTCCGCTTGTGGCTGCCAGTGTCAGGATGAGCAATGTTTCTTTGTGTCACCAAGAAATCAGATAGATTGATTACCATTTGTAAAGTTTTCTGTTGCAGTGATTAACTGATTTATACTGATTGTTAATACGTACTTGTTCTTGGTGTTCTATGGACAGCATTTTCACCAGAAGTTGAAACTTTGAGAACTAAAAGATTGAAATGGAGGAATAGACACTTGAACACTCTGACACCTCTTAAAGAAATAGTTCACCCCAAAATAAAAATTAGCTGAAAATGTACTCACCCTCAGACCATCTAATGTAGATGAGTTTGTTTCTTCATTAGAACAAATATGAAAAAAATAGTATTACATAACTTGCTCACCAGTGG